ATGTTGATGAGAACACAGCTGCAATGGGCAGGACACGTCTCCAGGATGAAGGACCAACCACCGCCTCCCTAAGATCCTGCTCTATGGTGAACTTGCCACCGGCTGCCGCATGGGAGGAGCCCCAAAGAAAAGATACAAGGACTCCCTGAAACAACATCTCAGCCTTGGCCATATTGATCACCATAACTGGTCTACTCTGGCCTCAAATCCGGAGGCCTGGAGACACGCCATCTATAACGCAGCTGTCTCCTTTGAGAACACACGCAGGATCACTCTCGAGGAAAAAAGGCAACGCAGAAAGAACCGTGTATTGCAGAATATACCACCTAAGGAGTCTTTCTGCTGTGCCTTATGTAATCGGATATGTCTGTCACGTATTGGCCTCATAAGCCACCAACGTGCCTGTAGCAAATGTGGATAGAGCCTTCCCAAATCTTCGTTCGCAAAGCCTAGCCATGATGACTATGGTGATGTCATGAAGACCTTGAGAGAGGTTACGTATCACTGGAAAACGCACTGGACAGCCAACCCTCAACCCACCAATGATTTCACATATAATTTAAAGGCAGGGCAAAGGATAATGGTCCCATTTCTTCCTTCATCACTTTTACTGCACTACCTGAAAACCTATCTGGTTCATGGTTTGCGTGCAGGAGGACACAGGAGGATAATGACAGTCACGGTAAACTTCAGTTAGCACCCATACACTCTGTCCCCTTTCTGTGCTACCTGCAAATCCTGCTCAGCTCCATCCTGTGCTGAGCTCTGAGCTACGGGAGTACCCATGTTGGGAAACACAGACTCTCTGTGAAGCATCACCAGCAGCACTGCTCAGGCATTCCCAAAACACAGCCTGCATTGTACAGAAGTGGGACATCCCTGGGCTGAGTTACCACTGCAACACCCTCAAAAAGGCCTGATCCAAGGCACTGTTCTGACACTCCAATTCACTCAGTATTTCCTGGGTTTACCAGCAGGTTGCAAGCCTGGGCTCCAAGGCACGTTTTCCTACCTTTTCCCTTTGGCAGAGAGTTTCAGCAGAAGTCATAAGTGACAGCCCATAGCTGAAAAGCCACAAGACAAGTTTGAAAAATGTTTAGATTGGCAGTCTGAAAAGACTTTTGCAATACAGGGGCTTGTTTCAATTTGCTTTTTGCAGATTCACAGTGGTTTCCTACTTTTCCTTCACCTGTCAGTGCTGGAAACGTATCTTTTATGCAACTAAAAGCTGAGGTCTGCAGTATTCCCAGAACTCCAGGAGGTGGAACTCCAAGAACAACAGTAAATATCAGATTTCTTCTCCAGATGGCAACATCAGACTAGACAGAAGGAGGAAATGTTTTAAAAACAGAATCTTTCTGCCAGAATAGTTTTGAGGAGTAGAATTCAAATGCATCCTTAATGGCAAGATTTCCACGAATGCTGCAGTGGCTTACATCCAAGAAGTCTGCAGAGGAATAACATGACCCAGATCTCCTCTGGCAGATGCTACATCAAGTTTTTTGATGGCAAGTATAGAGGTGGTCTGACAGAAGTGATCTGTGCAAAAACACCCTGCTGCTGTAGACATCAGTTTTGTCCACAAACACGTACCAGCCATCAGTAACATGGGTGATGCACATTGGACAAAATTTTTCACAAGGGACTATTGATTTGAGATCATCCTTCAGCACAAATGGATTTTGCAAAATATCCTGTCTATCCAGAGAACTGGACTGCTATAAGGCAGAACTGTCAGACTGGGGGACCAACACAGGGAAATACAGTTTTCAACCTCGGTTTCTAACGCTGAACTGAAGCAGAATAGTGCTTATGCTGAACAGGCATTTGATGTAAGCAATTAATGCTGGAAACTTCCTTCTCTATTTCAGATCAGCGGTTTTGGTGACAACTTCATGTTTAACTGTTTAGAGAAAGTCATGCAATTTTATCAAGACTAGATGATGATGGCTTTTGTGAAGTGCAAGGATAAGTTTATTCAGAGTTTGGCATCAAAGTTAAAGCTTTATGCGCTTTTATGATAAAGGGCATGATGAAAGGGAGTGAAATGATACAAGATATGACATGACCTGGAAAATGTTCTTGGTGATGCCAGTACAGTCTATGCACTGTTTGTACACCCAGAGTTCAGGTGTCTAATGAGATCTCATCGTGTTTGAAAATGGAGCAGCCATCCCACGGGTGTGCACTTGTGGGAAACTGAATCAGTGTCCTGAGCAGGGTGGGATGCTCAGGAAGGACTTGGATCAGACTGGCAGGGTGGCTGCTGGAGCAGGTGGGACAGGTGCTGAAGGAGGGGAGGTGTGAGCTCTCCTTGGGCCATTATGGCAGGTCTGTATGTGTTACATTTTTTAACACAATTCTAGGGTTAAATACTCATCCGTGACACGCTTTCTGGAATGGCAGGAGAATATTTGAAATTCCTAAATATGGCTAAACAAGAATTTTGGTGATACTCACTATACAACTCACTTGATTTAAAATACTGTTTTTAAGACTAAGGACCAAAATAGGAAGAAAAAAAGACCCTTGACCATATCTTCACAAAACATTAGAGCATGTTTAAAAGCCCTAGGGCGTAGTATTAAAACAAGACCAAAATATAGAAATCCCATGGCAGGGAGTAGGAACAAAATGATCTTTAAGGTTCCTTCCAGTCCAAACTGGTTTATGATTCTATTTAAGTACTGTGTTATAGTGTGAGACAGACCCTGCGCTGGTGCAGGGCCACTTGAGAGTCTCAGTGAGGCAACAACAGCTGAGAAATGGATGCCGTCCCCAAATCCAGCTGGAATAATATTTCCAGTGTTATTAATAATAAAGATGTGCCATGAAGTGTGCATCTCCTGAAGTGATCTGTCTGAAGTCAAAAGGAATCTACTGATTTTCGGGTTGGGTTTAGGGTTTTTTTTGGAACAATATGGTTTTACAGGGTGAATCAGGAAGTGAATAGCTAGTACCATGAACAGTTCACATTCATAAAGGACATGATTTCTGTCTCTAATTTGTACTGTCCAACTTCATTACCTGTTATCATACCTAATTACACCACCTTATAGGGAAATGCAGGCTAATTAAGGGAGGATGTTATTAACCACATTTAAAACATTATGAAGCAAATGAAATATTACCAGGAGGCAAAAAGGTGATTTGTTTCCATAGCATGCCTGTAAGTTAGTCCAGAGAAGATAGAGTCTGTTTAATTACAACATGGAAGGTTTTGTTTAAAAAGTAAG